ACCAATGGCCTGAGGCGATGGACCATGCTATCATGCTGCACAACTTGCTTTCATCATCATCGCTCCCGAACAACGCATCACCGCATCTGCTGTGGACAGGAAAACTGGGCAACACAAAAATGTTACGAGTGTTCGGCTGCATGGTACAGTACCGACCCCCAGCTGCACGCGCCGGTCGATTCTCCCAACGCCCACAATAGGGACTACACCTGGGCATCGAGAAACATTACAACGCATGGAAGATTTTTGACATAAACACAAAGGAAACAGTGGCATCACGTGATGTCATCTTCTATGAATGTCTCACCCTTCCAACGTACCTGTACAACTTGGAAACCTCACGTGATGTCACAGGCGGATTCCGTGGAGACCGAGCCTTTGCTTTAGCAGCAGATGAAGCTGACTGGGACGAGCAGAACGTGGACAGAGCTTCGGAAGAAGCCGGACCTCTTCCCTGCTGTTCGGTGGACATCCCAATGGATGATGACAATCCTCGCGAAAGGATCAACGCCGAAGTCTTCTATGACTTCGTTGACACCGGTTACGTTACACCCGCACGAGTCAACACCGACAACGCAGAACGCATAGGGCCCAATTTCTTACCTGACCCAGAAGCAGGAGACGAAGCAGCTTATCCCGAGGACGCAAATCTTCCCCGCTACACACAGAGTGGACTCCAGATACTCGGGCTCGTCACCGCAGTCCACGGCACGGCGCCACCTAAGGAGTCTGCCACAGTTCAGCAGGCTCTGGGGGGGGAGCACACGGAAAAATGGCGCAAGGCCATGGACAGAGAGTTAAAGGCACTCGAAGAATGCAACACCTGGAAGGTCGTACCTATTGGTGTGGCACGGAACAAGACAATTCTCACCGGCAAATGGGTTTTTTTGGTGAAAGCAAAGGCAGACGGAACCATCGACAAATTTAAGGCACGCTGGGTCGTACGTGGCTTTGACCAAGAGCACGGACGAGACTTCACCGAAACATTCGCACCTGTTAGTCGGCACACTTCACTGCGGATTCTCCTCGCGATAGCCACCATGAAGCGGAAGAAGCTTCGTCAAATCGACGTCGCTAACGCCTTTCTCTATGCACCCGTCGATGCTGAAATCTTCGTCGAGCAACCGCACGGCTCCAACGCAGACCCCAATCAAGTCTGTCAGCTACTGAGGTCCCTGTACGGCATCAAACAGGCCCCGAGACTGTGGCAGCAATATCTACATGCGCGACTAATCCGCATCGGATTCCGACAACTGCCGCACGATCAAGGAATGTACCGGCTCACAAAAGGAACTGACTACATCCTGTTGATCGTCTACGTGGACGATCTACTCTACATCGGCTCGACCGATTGCGTCACAACCTGGTTCGAAGGGGAGCTGCAGCGGGACTTAACGCTCACCATCTCATCCACCGTGACACAATACATCGAGCTCAACATACAGGAAGAAGAGAACGCGATATATCTCAGCGCCGCAAAATACGCCGACACCATCGCCAAACGCTTCGGATTAACTCCAACTGCTATCTCCACACCGTACCGGTACACCTCCGCGAGCCATGAAGGAACCTCCGCACCACTCAAGCCCGCCGGCATACGCGACTATCAACGAAAGCTAGGATGTCTACTATTCGCAGCCGTCACCTGCCGACCAGACCTATCGTATTCGGCAAGCCAGCTCGCAACCTACCTCAAGAAACCTGAAGCAGAGCACATGGCGGAACTCGACCGCTCACTCCACTACCTCGTCAGCACTCCGACAATCCGCCTGACCTACCACAAAAACGGAACCTCGACACCTAAGCTAATCGGCTATGTAGACGCCGACCACGCCGGCGACGCAAACAACAGGCGCTCACGCACCGGCTACATCTACCGACTCGAACCTATCGGGCCTATCTCGTGGCAGTCGAGCAAACAGGAACTAATCGCTCTCTCCTCAGCTGAAGCAGAATATATTGCACTCTGAAGCAACGAAGGCTTGTACCTTCGCGAACTGCTGGAAGAAGCGAAGTTGGCCCAGGGTTTAGGGTTTAGGGTTTACCCTAAACCCTAAACCCTAAACCCTAGACGAGCTGCAGGAGCAACGGACCCACGGGCGACTGGCGCAGCATGCTCGCTGGGCTACCGGAGATTGTAACCTCCGGACTACTGGCGCTGCTGGCGACACGACGGATACCTCCGCACACTCTCCCCCACTGTCGCAGACCCCCTTTCACACACCCCCTTACTCCACCCCTAGCTCCACTCCCACGTCACCCCCCTAACGCCACTCCCTCGCCTCTCACACACCCACCCCCCTCAGCGGCAGCTGCAGCACTAGGAGACGGAGGAGGAGGAGGAGCAGGGGACGCCGCACACACCCGCCACCCGCATACCCGCCACCCCACACCCCAAACGCAGGCGGTGTGGGGCAGAAACGCGGGCAGCAGTTGGGACGGCGTGCAAGCAGAAGCGGGGCAGCGCGCGGGCCCCCGGAACGCCACGACGGGCGACGGGAGGGGGCGACGCGCGGGCCCCCGGGGCGCCGCGACGGGCGACGGGAGGGAGGGCGACGCGCGGGCCCCCAGAGCGCCGCGACGGGCGACGGGATAGCGGGAGGGGGCGCGCGCTGGTCCTCCAGGGCCCCGCGACGGGCGACGGGATGGCAGGGGGGGCGCGCGTGGGTCCCCCAAGGCGCCGCGATGGGCGACGGGATGGTGGGGAGGGGGGGGGGCGCGCGGGTCCCCCAGGGCGCCGCGGCGGGCGATGGGATGGCGAAGGGGCGCGCGCGGGTCCTCCAGGGCGCCGCGACGGTTAGGGCACCGCCACACGCCTCGGGGCGCGCGACGGGCAGGGCACCGTCGCGCGCCACGGGGCGTGCGACGGGCAGGGCAGGGCGTCGCGCGGCGAGTAGGGCGGCGCAACGGGTAGGGCAGAGCCGCGACGGGCAGAAAACCGCCGCGCGCCCCGAGCGCGCGGCGGGAAGAAAAAACGCCGCACGCCACGAGCGCGCGGCAGGCAAAACACGTCGCACGCCCGGGGCGCGCAACAAGCAGTACAGCAGCGGAAGCATCGGGTGGGCCCATCCACAGGATCGACCAGGGAGGGTCAGCCTGCTCTGATAGCATGTGAGAAGTTAGAACAAAGAATGAACAACAGAAGAGGGATTGCACTAGCAGGCAGTTGAGTACATATAGGAAACCCTAATTTGGGCTGTACTCGCTATAGAGTACCCCACTGCAGGCTAGACAAATATAACATTCTGACACCGGAACATCGAATTGTAAACGAAGCAAACAGCAACGAAGCAACGGCGAGTCAACCATCGGAGGTTGACAAACTGTTGGAGGTTACGCGAAGGTCAAAGGTCAGCGACCTTTGACTTGACAAATACAGCGCGACAGCAAGGACAAACAACTGACTCGATACTGAGCAATTGCCCGAGTCGTCACTGTATCGAACCGCAACAGCAACAGTAGAACAGTTATTAGTTGCACCTTTTCATATTCCTTGTAATCTTATAAAAGCTTGTATTCCTCTTCTATAATCAATCTATCTTGCCCTCACATACTAGCGCAAGGTGGTTCAACACTTGTCATTAAAACGCTTCCGCAACTACAACACGATTACTCAGAGTTTAGCCTTGAAAAGATCATAAGGGCTTTTCTCAGCCCAACAGCCCCGACCCTGCGATTGGTTTGCCCGATCGGTTTTTGACTGCGAGCTTGCAATCGACCGAGGGAGGGGACGGGGGAGGGGTTGTCTAACTATAAAATTACATATAAATGTGTTAGGTTAGGCCTGCTCGGCTGTGGTGAGGTACGTTTTATAGGGTATATCTTTTCCCTTGGGAGTCGTGTTTGTGCCTTCTCTCTCGCTAGTGAAAATACTTCCTAAATTCTAAGATGATATCACCTAGGTAGTTCCTAGGCCGTAGTTCCGTGTCGCCCTGTGTCGCCCTCAATCGCCCCGTTACGCGCTGCCCACGCTGCCTGCGCTACCCTAGCTGTAGGACCCGCGCACGCTTGCACAGCAGCGCACACGCGCAGCAAAGCCCCGCGCGCGAGCAGCAGCAGCCTCGCGCGCACGTACAGCCCCGCGCGCACAACGCGCGCACAGCAGCGGCCGCCGTGCGCACTGAAACCGCCGCCGCGTGTCGCTGCAAACATTATCCGCGCTCCGCCCCGTCCCTTGCTGCGCTCTGCCCTGCCGCCCGCGCGCGCAGCCCCACGCACGTCCCCCGTACGAGCAGACGTGCGCAGCAACAGCTGCACGCACACGCGCAGCTGCTTACGCAGTAGGAGCCGTGCGCACGTGACTTAGTCACCTAAGTTCCGTAGATTTTAAAACCAGGGTCTCAAGTAAGAGATTTTGCCATCAATTGCAAAACATTTGAGACTTGCGTTACCTTGTGTTTGTAGGCGAGATGGACTGGTTGGCTAGGGAAGTTGGCGTGCGACACTCCCCCTATTTTGCCTCAGCACCAATTGCAAAACAAATTTTGGGTAGATGAGACTCTCGACAATTCTTGACATTTCACTGGCACTGTAGCTTCGGCTCCGAACCTGTTTCCATACCTAGAAGGTTTAGAACACAGCAAGCGATTGAGTTCCCTTCGCATCCCTCGCTGCACCCCTTTTCGTTTTTTAGGGCTCGTCAACCAATGGGAAACGGGTGTTTCCCATCAACTGCAAAACAAATGATCTACATGAGACCCTGGTTTTAAAACCCGCAGCCTGAATTACAAGAAAAGTTGGGAGGTGTTAACACTTTCCCTCCCGAACCAGTGTGGTTACCAGGTTTTCACCTGCAAAACATGAAAGAAGTCGCAGGCAGCGCAGGGAAGGGTCGCTCGGTTCCTGGGCTGAGGTGTGCACACTAAACTGGAAATATGTAATTCAGGTCGTTCGAAACTGCCTAGTCTGAGCAGCTAGAGCGACAGCCATAGCATAGAACATCTAGCATTCTACCCCATTCCAGCGCATGGCGGAAAATTCCTCCTTAGGACGTTAGGACCATGCCTTCATTCTTCCAATCCGTCTCTAAAGCGCCCCGCGGTTCTAGGTCACGTTTCCACTCGACATAGCTAGCCGGGGCCATGGTTGCACATATGCCCGTCGTCGCCCTGGTTTCACTTCCACACCGCCCACCGCACCAATGTCGCCTATCTTCATAGCCGCGACGTCCTCTCTATCCGCCGCGTAGGTTTCATCCACCTGCTTCGCCGCATCGCTTCTTCTCCCCGACGTCCACACTCGGACCCCTTCCGGAACACACACGCGATCCCCTCCATCCCTCACGCTTCTTCCCTCGAACGAGCACGCTCCCTTCCCTCCCATCTCCTTCACGCAAAACCCTCTGTTGCGCACGCGAACATCCCTCCGTCGCGGATGATAACGCCTTCCCGTCGCACACAGGCACTCCCCTCGAACGGTCACGCACACTCCCTTTCGTCGCCGGCGCGCACTCCCTTCCGTCGCCCACGCTCAAGCCCTTCCCGTCGCCCACGCTCACTCCCTTCCCATCGCGATCGCGGGGGGAAATCGTACCGTCGCCCACGATCATTCACTTCCGTCGCCCACGCTCACCCCCATTCCATCGCCTTCGCGCAATCCTTCGGTCGCACACGCTCACCCCCGCTCGTCGCCACGGCCTATTCCTTCCCGCATCTCCGCCTCACCCCGTCTCCTCCTCACCCCAGCTCCGTCCGCGCGCACTCCCTCCCGTTGCGCGCGACAACTCCCCTTCCGCCGCCCACGCTCTCTCCCTCCCGCCACGTTCTCTCGCTTCCCTCCTGTCGCGACAGTCCCCTCCGTCGCCCACGCTCACTCCTCCCCACCACGCACGCTCTCCCCCCATCCATCGCCCACGCTCACTGCCCGTACTCCGCACACGCTCACTTCCCTCCGTCGCCCAGGCTCACCCCCTGCCCCTCGCCTTCTCTCATTCCCCTCCGTCGCCTATGCTCCATCCCCATCCCTTCCCTCCCCATCCCTCATCTCCCCATCCCTTCCCTCCCTATCCCTCATCTCCCCATCCCTTCCCTCCCCATCCCTCATCTCCCCATCCCGTCCCTCCCCATCCCTCACCTCCCCATCCCCGCCTCCCCATCCCTTCCCTCTCCATCCCTTCCCTCCCCATCCCTCACCTCCCAGTCTCTCAACTTACCGTCCCTCTTCTCCCCATCCCTCTTCTCCCCATCCCTCTTCTCCCCATCCCTTCCCTCTCCATCCCTCACCTCACCATTCCGTTTCAACCCATTCCGCCCCACCCCATTCCGCCCCACCCCATTCCGCCCCACCCCATTCCGCCCCACCCCATTCCGCCCCATCCCATTCCGCCTCACCCCATTCCGCCCCACCCCAATCCGCCCCACCCTAATCCGCCCCACCCCATTCCGCCCCACCCCATTCCGCCCCACCCCCATCTCCTCCTCACCCCATCTCCTCCTCACCCCTCATCCGTTGTGCTTTTCGGCACTAAGAAGCTTTTTGGGGAGGGGAGATGCGGTTCCGCCCCACCCCACTCCGCTCTCCCCCATCTCCGCCCCACCCCACTACGCTCTCCCCCATCTCCGCCCCACCCCACTACGCTCTCCCCCATCTCCGCCCCACCCCACTACGCTCTCCCCCATCTCCGCCCCACCCCACTACGCTCTCCCCCATCTCCGCCCCACCCCACTCCGCTCTCCCCCATCTCCGCCCCACCCCACTCCGCTCTCCCCCATCTTCGCCCCACCCCACTCCGCCCTGGCCCACTCCGCCCCACCCCATCTCAAGGTCACCCCATTCCGCCCCACCCTTCAAAATCACCCCATTCCGCCCCACCCATCTCTGCCCCACCCATCTCCACCCCAACCCATCTCTGCCTCTCGTTTGTCTCCTACCATAATAATAATCCGTGAGTGTCTCTTTATTTCTTCCTCTTTGCAGGTGCCGGTTTGTCAGTGTCAGTGCCCACCCTTTTGTATGCGTTCTGCTTCAGCCACGAGCATCTGATTTTCACAACTGGGTTTGTACAGGTCCCCCCCCCCCCCCCCCCCCCCCCCCCTATGCATTTGGTTCAGGAATGTTGGTTGTTGGTAGTACTACTACTAGGTATGACAAATAGACATGCCAATGTTGGATATTTAGTATTATATGCTAAATTTTGATCCACAGAGGTATGAGACTGTAGACCACTTACAATGTGCATCAATCTAGTAAAAAAGAACAAGCTAGTCCATGTGATGTCTTGTCCAACTCTTGTCTGCACATACAGCAGCAAAAAACCAGGACTTGTGGTTCCCTCCCAACAGCTGGTGCTGGGCACCGACACACTGCATGGGTAAAGGGTTGAATAGGGGAGTGAGCAGGAAAGAACAGAATGAGCAGGGAAAAACAGAGTGCAGGGGAGACAGTGAGCAGAGGTAAAATAATTGAGCAGGGGGAAAGAGAGAGAACATGTTGAAAGGGAGTGAGCAGGTGGGAAGATAGTGAGCAGGGAGAAACATAGTGAGCAAGGGGAAGAGAGCGAGCAGGGGAAAACAGAACGAGCAGCAAGGGGAAGAGAATGAGCAGTGGAGGAAGAGAGTGAGCAGGGGGGAATAGAAAAAACAGGGGGGAAGAGAGGAAACAGAGCGAGCAAGGGGGAAACAGAGTGAGGAGCGGGAAGGGAGCGAGCAGGGAGAAACATAGTGAGAGCAGCCCTGTCCGTGCTGCACTCGCCGAACAGCGCCACCACGCTGGCCGCTGCCTGGCGTGCGCTGATGGCATGCGCCTTGCGCACGTCGAGGGTGTGAGAGAGGCGAGGAGTGTGAGAGAGGCGAGGAGTGTGAGAGAGGCGGGGAGTGTGAGAGAGGCGAGGAGGAGTGTGAGAGAGGCGAGGAGTGTGAGAGAGGCGGGGAGTGTGAGAGAGGCGAGGAGTGTGAGAGTGGCGAGGAGTGTGAGAGAGGCGAGGAGTGTGAGAGAGGCGAGGAGTGTGAGAGAGGCGAGGAGTGGCGGAGGAGGATTGGGTTAGAAGGGGAGGAATTGCAGGGAAGGCGTGAGAAAAAATACCATGGAAGTTCAAAGGTAGGGAAAGGGAAATGAAGTTGTTCGAGGGGAAAAGAGGCGATGAGGGTTGAGAGTGGGAATGGAAAGCAGGGGCTTATGAGGAAGGGTGCGTGGGGAGGCGTGGCGAGTGTGAGAGGGCGGGCGGACGTCGTGATGAGGCCCGCAGGCGAGCGCGGAGTGAGCAAGGGGATGAGGGTGGGCATGGGGAAAGGGAGTGAACAGGGGGGAACACCACGAACTGGGGGGAAGAGGGTGAGCAGGGGGAAACAGAATGAGCAAGGGGGAAACAGAATGAGCAAGGGGGAAACAGAATGAGCAAGGGGGAAGAGAGTGATCAGGGGGGGGGGAGGGAGTGAACAGGGGGGAACAGAGTGAAGGGAGGAAGGGGAGTAATTGTTTCGCATGAGTGTACGTGGGTGAGAGTGAAGCTTTGGGTGGGGAAAAAAAGAGGTGGTAAACCAGGGCACTGGGAAGGGTAGAGAAGGCGGCGGGGCGGGAAACCAGGGCGTCGGCGCGAGGGAGGGGAATGGGCATGGGCGACGGAGGAAGGAAGCGAGGGCGAAGAAGAGGGGACGCTCGACGAAGACGTCAGCGGCGGGAATGAGAACAATGTTGACGCAGCGACAGGTGGGAGAGGAGAGGTCGACTCGGCGAGCGATGGGGAGGGAAAACGAGGGCGACGGGAGGGGGAAAGCGAGGGCGACGGGAGGGGGAAAGCGAGGCCGACGGAAGGGGGAAAGCGAGGTCGACGGGAGGGGGAAAGCGAGGTGGACGGGAGGGGGAAAGCGAGGTCGACGGGAGGGGGAAAGCGAGGTCGACGGGAGGGGGAGGCGGTGATGGCGACCCGCGAGGCGAGGGTGGTAGGCGGGGAAGATGCGGTACGCGACGGGCGGGGGAAGCGAGGGCGGCGGGTATGGGAAGCGAGGGCAACGGGAGGGGAGAAGCGAGGGCGGGCGGAGGAAGCAAAGGCGACGGGCAGGGAGGAGGCGAGGCGACGGGCGGGGAGGAGGTGGTGCGCGGGAAGAGCGAGGGCGACGGGCGGGGGAAGCGAGGTGGGCAAATCGCTAATATCTCCCGTGCCATCTCGTTTCTACGTGCGTCACACTCGCAGCCAGCGCCTACGATTCACTTCGATTGCATGACCGCGCTTCATCTTCTATTCGATCGTCCCTAAATTGTGTTCACTTGATATGCCTGGCTGGTGAGCGCGATGCTTGGATCCTAAAAAGCTTGTCTGAGTTGTTCGCTTGTTCTGTCGCACAGGTTTTTACCCTGCTCTAGCTCTCTGGGGTTGTAAGCAGAATGTATGCGAACTGTTGGGTTGCGTTGGCTGATAACGCCTCGTTGACTCACGGGAGAGTCGCATCATGTTTCGCTAACTTTTTTGCTTTCGCAATTCTGCCGCACCTCATATTGCCCGAACCCCAAACCTACCAAACCAAGCGTTGACTCAGTTTTTGTAATTCAGGCTTCGGGTTTTAAAGCTCAAGGCCCAAATTGCGGGCCGCGCGAGGCAAGTTTAGTAAGGTTGATCGAGTGCTGCTTTGCAGCTTTAGCTGGGCGAATTGTGGTTACGAAATGTACGAAGCCATCTGATTGGCCAGAACATTTGAGTCAGCGAATGGAACAGGTGGTGCGGGAAACTGGCAAGAGTAATATTTGTGCAATATGGGACTCGCGCAACCAAACCTGAGCGTCCCCTAGGCTTTGCTGAGTCAGCGAATTTTGTTTTGAGTGTGGCGAGAAGCTGGGCGAAACCAAACCCCTACACCCCTCAAACACCTCGACTTTCCTACTCTGCTTTCCCACCACCCAAGGGTCAACTTTAGTAATCCTGAACAATTTGGGCCTTGAGCTTTAAGAGGGTTCCTACGGCTTCGTTAGAGGTTGGTGTTGACGCCACACCACGATGAGATTTGCAAAACTGTTACCGTAGCACTCAACCATTCGTTCATTCCCTAACAATTTCCCACGCCCCATCATCGTCTCTAAACCCTAAATCCAGAACCCCTTGTCGTTAGTTCGCCGTGTCAGCAGGCCTTCTCACTTTTTGCTAAATTGGATTTTCGTTCGAGATTAGATTAGACTTTTAGCGCGCCACGCAATTTTCCTCGCGTGGCTCTGCAGCGCGGCGGAGCGATGAAGGCGGCGAAGCGGGGAGCGAAGGCGCCTCGTGCTGGTGGCGGGCGGGGGGATCTCAGCGGCCCGCAGATGCCACCCACCGTCATCTCTGACTCGCGGTTCGCCGCGCTCCACTCCGACCCGCGCTTCGCGGTGAGCTTCGACAGCAGCCGCTCTGGCTGCTTGACGGTGGGCGTGGAAATGCGATGGTTGAAGGTCGCGCTGCTGTCGCCTGCGCGCCCACCTTGGCGGCAGCCCAGTCGCCGTCCTCCAACACGCCACGTGCCTCACCCCCTGCCATGCCCCTCCCACCTCATGCCTCTCTCGCATCCTCTCGCCATTCCTGCCAATCCCGCCTGCCGTGCTACACACATTCGCAGCAAGTCATTCCGCCTCTCCCCACTTTCCCGTTTCCCCGTCGCCTTTCCCCAGCCCGCCCCTTGTCCGACTCCCCTGCGCCCTCTGTCCGCCCCATTCGTCCCACGCGCTCTCCATCTGCCCGTCTCGACGTCTTGCACAGCAGCCAGGCACTTGCCGCTCCTATTCTTTCCCACATCCCCGACCCTGTCCAGAATAGTGCACCCCAAACCCTCAACTCCTGAACCCCTAACCCCGAAGTTGATTTATCAACCCCAAACCCAGGACCCTCGTCACCCCCATGCACCCCTCGTCACTTCCACGCACCCCGCGTCAACCCCCATGCACCCCTCGCCACCCTTGCGTTCCCCCCCCCAGCGCGTGCCGGTGCGCGAGACGCGCGTGGCGGTGGACGCGCGGTTCTCCGGCATGTTCCGCTCGGCGCAGTTCGGCGAGGCGGGCGGCGTGGACAAGCGCGGACGGCGGCGCGAGGCGCAGCGAGGGGCCGACCTGAAGCGGTACTACCGCGTGGATGAGGGGGAAGAGGGGGAGGCGGGGGAGGCGGGGGAGGGGGAAGGGGAGGTGAATGAGGGAAGCGGGGAGAAGGAAAAGCAGGTAGAAGCAAGGGCGCGTAAGGAGGAGGAGGAGGAGGAGGAGGAGGAGGAGGAAGAGGAGGGGGAGGTGCATGAGAGTGATGAAGAAGAGGAGGGGGAGGGCTCAGATGACTCGTCCTCCTCTTCCTCATCAGACTCGGAGAGTGAGAGCGATGAAGAGGCTTCAACCGCACAGGTGCTTGCCTTACTCCGACCCCTCTCTTCTCGCCTTTTCCCTCTGCACCGCTCCATTTTCCCACCACCACATGCTGCTTCGGCCGCTCCCCACTCCCACTCATCTTTGCTCCACCCCCTCCTCTCTCCCCTCATCGCCCCACATCCCGCGCTGCCCCTTGTCGCGCCGCCGTCTATCCCGGGCGGCAGCAGCAGGAGGAGGAGCGAGTGGAGACGGTGGAGGAGGCAACGAGGCGCCTGGCGCTCGTCAACATGGACTGGGATAACGTGCGGGTGAGATGAGGGAGGAGAGGGGCGACGTGTGGGTGAGATGAGAGAGGAGAGGGGCGACGTGTGGGTGAGATGAGAGAGGAGAGGGGCGACGTGTGGGTGAGATGAGAGAGGAGAGGGGCGACGTGTGGGTGAGATGAGAGAGGAGAGGGGCGACGTGTGGGTGAGATGAGAGAGGAGAGGGGCGACGTGTGGGTGAGATGAGAGAGGAGAGGGGCGACGTGTGGGTGAAATGAGGGGCAGCATGAAGTGGCACAATCAGGGACGTGAGGGGGGGGGCGTATGGGGGTGAGCATGGCATGCACATGGGAGGGGAGCAGGCAAGGACATGGGAGGGGAGCAGGCAAGGACATGGGAGGGGAGCAGGCAAGGACATGGGAGGGGAGCAGGCAAGGACATGGGAGGGGAGCAGGCAAGGACATGGGAGGGGAGCAGGCAAGGACATGGGAGGGGAGCAGGCAAGGACATGGGAGGGGAGCAGGCAAGGACATGGGAGGGGAGCAGGCAAGGACATGGGAGGGGAGCATGGCAAGGACATGGGAGGGGAGCAGGCAAGGACATGGGAGGGGAGCATGGGGAAGAGCAGAGCCATGCACAGTGGCTGGACTACTTCCATGCACAGTGGCTGGACTACTTCCATGCACAGTGGCTGGACTACTTCCGTGCTCCCTCTTGCTGCACGCTCACTGCCATCTCACTTCTCTCCTCTCCTTTTCTTTCCGTTCCCTCTTGCTCATCCTCCCCCCCCCGCCACGGCAGGCAGTGGACATCCTGGTGGTGCTGCGCTCCTTCGTGCCGCCCGGCGGGCGCATCACAGCCGTCACCGTGTACCCCTCTGACTTCGGCCGCCAGCAGATGCACGCCGAGCTTGAGCGCGGCCCCCAGGGCCTCTTCCAGGCGGGCAGGGGGGCAAAGGGGACGGCAGGCAGGGGGCCTCAGGTGCAGGGGGGTGAGGGCGGTGAAGAGGAGGAAGGGGAGAGCAGTGAGGAGGGCGAGGGCGTGGATGCGGAGAGGCTGAGGGAGTACGAGAAGTCCAAGCTCAGGTGAGGGAGTACGACAAGTCCAAGCTCAGGTGAGGGAGTACGACAAGTCCAAGCTCAGGTGAGGGAGTACGACAAGTCCAAGCTCAGGTGAGGGAGTACGACAAGTCCAAGCTCAGGTGAGGGAGTACGACAAGTCCAAGCTCAGGTGAGGGAGTACGACAAGTCCAAGCTCAGGTGAGGGAGTACGACAAGTCCAAGCTCAGGTGAGGGAGTGCGACAAGTCCAAGCTCAGGTGAGGGAGTACGACAAGTCCAAGCTCAGGTGAGGGAGTACGAGAAGTCCAAGCTCAGGTGAGGGAGTACGACAAGTCCAAGCTCAGGTGAGGGAGTACGACAAGTCCAAGCTCAGGTGAGGGAGTACGACAAGTCCAAGCTCAGGTGAGGGAGTACGAGAAGTCCAAGCTCAGGTGAGGGAGTACGACAAGTCCAAGCTCAGGTGAGGGAGTACGACAAGTCCAAGCTCAGGTGCGGGAGTACGACAAGTCCAAGCTCAGGTGAGGGAGTACGACAAGTCCAAGCTCAGGTGAGGGAGTACGACAAGTCCAAGCTCAGGTGCGGGAGTACGACAAGTCCAAGCTCAGGTGAGGGAGTACGACAAGTCCAAGCTCAGGTGAGGGAGTACGACAAGTCCAAGCTCAGGTGAGGGAGTACGACAAGTCCAAGCTCAGGTGCGGGAGTACGACAAGTCCAAGCTCAGGTGAGGGAGTACGACAAGTCCAAGCTCAGGTGAGGGAGTACGACAAGTCCAAGCTCAGGTGAGGGAGTACGACAAGTCCAAGCTCAGGTGAGGGAGTACGACAAGTCCAAGCTCAGGTGAGGGAGTACGACAAGTCCAAGCTCAGGTGAGGGAGTACGAGAAGTCCAAGCTCAGGTGAGGGAGTACGACAAGTCCATCCCAGGCCCATCCTGTCGGCCCATCCTGTCGGCCCATCCTGTCGGCCCATCCTGTCGGCCCATCCTGTCGGCCCATCGTGTCGGCCCATCCTGTCGGCCCATCCTGTCTGCCCATCCTGTCGGCCCATCGTGTCGGCCCATCCTGTCTGCCCATCCTGTCGGCCCATCCTGTCTGCCCATCCTGTCGGCCCATCCTGTCGGCCCATCCTGTCGGCCCATCCTGTCTGCCCATCCTGTCGGCCCATCCTGTCGGCCCATCCTGTCTGCCCATCCTGTCGGCCCATCCTGTCTTCCCATCCTGTCGGCCCATCCTGTCTGCCCATCCTGTCGGCCCATCCTGTCTGCCCATCCTGTCGGCCCATCCTCTCTGCCCATCCTGTCTGCCCATATCCCACACGTTTCTATCCCGACTCTGCATGATCGTTTCTTATCAGCTCACCTTCTTCCATATTCCTTGTCGCTCTTGTCAGCACCCTCTGCGCGCCCACAGGTTGCCAGTTTGAGTGCCCAACCCTTCTCCTCCCCCTGCGCATGTCGTCCTCCCCTACCCCTGTGTGCGCCGTGCCGTGCCGTGCAGGTACTACTACGCGGTGGTGGAGTGTGACAGCGCGGCCACGGCGGCACACGTGTATGGGGAGTGTGACGGCATGGAGTTTGAGAACAGTGCCAACCAGCTCGACCTGCGCTTCATCCCCGACGCCATGGCCTTCAACCACCGACAGCCCCGCGACTCCTGCACCCAGGTGGTGTCACCCCTCCGTGTGGTGTCACCCCTCCTTGTGGTGTCACCCCTCCGTGTGGTGTCACCCCTCCGTGTGGTGTCACCCCTCCGTGTGGTGTCACCCCTCCGTGTGGTGTCACCCCTCCGTGTGGTGTCACCCCTCCGTGTGGTGTCACCCCTCCGTGTGGTGTCACCCCTCCGTGTGGTGTCACCCCTCCGTGTGGTGTCACCCCTCCGTGTGGTGTCACCCCTCCGTGTGGTGTCACCCCTCCGTGTGGTGTCACCCCTCCGTGTGGTGTCACCCCTCCGTGTGGTGTCACCCCTCCGTGTGGTGTGACCCCTCCGTGTGGTGTCACCCCTCCGTGTGGTGTCACCCCTCCGTGTGGTGTCACCCCTCCGTGTGGTGTCACCCCTCCGTGTGGTGTCACCCCTCCGTGTGGTGTCACCCCTCCGTGTGGTGTCACCCCTCCGTGTGGTGTCACCCCTCCGTGTGGTGTCACCCCTCCGTGTGGTGTCACCCCTCCGTGTGGTGTCACCCCTCCGTGTGGTGTCACCCCTCCGTGTGGTGTCACCCCTCCGTGTGATGTCACCCCTCCGTGTGGTGTCACCCCTCCGTGTGGTGTCACCCCTCCGTGTGGTGTCACCCCTCCGTGTGGTGTCACCCCTCCGTGTGGTGTGACCCCTCCGTGTGGTGTCACCCCTCCGTGTGGTGTCACCCCTCCGTGTGGTGTCACCCCTCCGTGTGGTGTCACCCCTCCGTGTGGTGTCACCCCTCCGTGTGGTGTCACCCCTCCGTGTGGTGTCACCCCTCCGTGTGGTGTCACCCCTCCGTGTGGTGTCACCCCTCCGTGTGGTGTCACCCCTCCGTGTGGTGTCACCCCTCCGTGTGGTGTCACCCCTCCGTGTGGTGTCACCCCTCCGTGTGGTGTCACCCCTCCGTGTGGTGTCACCCCTCCGTGTGGTGTCACCCCTCCGTGTGGTGTCACCCCTCCGTGTGGTGTCACCCCTCCGTGTGGTGTCACCCCTCCGTGTGGTGTCACCCCTCCGTGTGGTGTCACCCCTCCGTGTGGTGTCACCCCTCCGTGTGGTGTCACCCCTCCGTGTGGTGTGACCCCTCCGTGTGGTGTCACCCCTCCGTGTGGTGTCACCCCTCCGTGTGGTGTGACCCCTCCGTGTGGTGTCACCCCTCCGTGTGGTGTCACCCCTCCGTGTGGTGTCACCCCTCCGTGTGGTGTCACCCCTCCGTGTGGTGTCACCCCTCCGTGTGGTGTCACCCCTCCGTGTGGTGTCACCCCTCCGTGTGGTGTCACCCCTCCGTGTGGTGTCACCCCTCCGTGTGGTGTCACCCCTCCGTGTGGTGTCACCCCTCCGTGTGGTGTCACCCCTCCGTGTGGTGTCACCCCTCCGTGTGGTGTCACCCCTCCGTGTGGTGTCACCCCTCCGTGTGGTGTCACCCCTCCGTGTGGTGTCACCCCTCCGTGTGGTGTCACCCCTCCGTGTGGTGTCACCCCTCCGTGTGGTGTCACCCCTCCGTGTGGTGTCACCCCTCCGTGTGGTGTCACCCCTCCGTGTGGTGTCACCCCTCCGTGTGGTGTCACCCCTCCGTGTGGTGTCACCCCTCCGTGTGGTGTCACCCCTCCGTGTGGTGTCACCCCTCCGTGTGGTGTCACCCCTCCGTGTGGTGTCACCCCTCCGTGTGGTGTCACCCCTCCGTGTGGTGTCACCCCTCCGTGTGGTGTCACCCCTCCGTGTGGTGTCACCCCTCCGTGTGGTGTCACCCCTCCGTGTGGTGTCACCCCTCCGTGTGGTGTCACCCCTCCGTGTGGTGTCACCCCTCCGTGTGGTGTCACCCCTCCGTGTGGTGTCACCCCTCCGTGTGGTGTCACCCCTCCGTGTGGTGTCACCCCTCCGTGTGGTGTCACCCCTCCGTGTGGTGTCACCCCTCCGTGTGGTGTCACCCCTCCGTGTGGTGTCACCCCTCCGTGTGGTGTCACCCCTCCGTGTGGTGTCACCCCTCCGTGTGGTGTCACCCCTCCGTGTGGTGTCACCCCTCCGTGTGGTGTCACCCCTCCGTGTGGTGTCACCCCTCCGTGTGGTGTCACCCCTCCGTGTGGTGTCACCCCTCCGTGTGGTGTCACCCCTCCGTGTGGTGTCACCCCTCCGTGTGGTGTCACCCCTCCGTGTGGTGTCACCCCTCCGTGTGGTGTCACCCCTCCGTGTGGTGTCACCCCTCCGTGTGGTGTCACCCCTCCGTGTGGTGTCACCCCTCCGTGTGGTGTCACCCCTCCGTGTGGTGTCACCCCTCCGTGTGGTGTCACCCCTCCGTGTGGTGTCACCCCTCCGTGTGGTGTCACCCCTCCGTGTGGTGTCACCCCTCCGTGTGGTGTCACCCCTCCGTGTGGTGTCACCCCTCCGTGTGGTGTCACCCCTCCGTGTGGTGTCACCCCTCCGTGTGGTGTCACCCCTCCGTGTGGTGTCACCCCTCCGTGTGGTGTCACCCCTCCGTGTGGTGTCACCCCTCCGTGTGGTGTCACCCCTCCGTGTGGTGTCACCCCTCCGTGTGGTGTCACCCCTCCGTGTGGTGTCACCCCTCCGTGTGGTGTCACCCCTCCGTGTGGTGTCACCCCTCCGTGTGGTGTCACCCCTCCGTGTGGTGTCACCCCTCCGTGTGGTGTCACCCCTCCGTGTGGTGTCACCCCTCCGTGTGGTGTCACCCCTCCGTGTGGTGTCACCCCTCCGTGTGGTGTCACCCCTCCGTGTGGTGTCACCCCTCCGTGTGGTGTCACCCCTCCGTGTGGTGTCACCCCTCCGTGTGGTGTCACCCCTCCGTGTGGTGTCACCCCTCCGTGTGGTGTCACCCCTCCGTGTGGTGTCACCCCTCCGTGTGGTGTCACCCCTCCGTGTGGTGTCACCCCTCCGTGCATGGAGTCGTGCTGGTCCATCCCCAGAGGCCTCTCACGTCGTGCCGCATCACACAATGCATGCGTCGGTCGGCACAAGCCAACTGTGCGCGCCAATGCGTGCATGGAGGTCAATTACCGGAGACCAGGCTGCTCTTCTTCACCCTGCACTCAATCTCCCCTCTACCTCACTCACTTCTTACGCTCACCCCTGCAGGTGCCAGGGGACTACGAGGCACCGGTGTTCACCACGCGGGTGCTGCAGCACAGCACCGTGAAGCTCACGTGGGACGAGGACGACCCCACCCGCGTGCGAGCGCTGCGCCGCAAGTTCGCCTCCGACCAGGTGAGCGTGCCGGCCAGGTGAGCGTGCCGGCCAGGTGAGCGTGCCGGCCAGGTGAGCGTGCCGACCAGGTGAGTGCCGGCCAGGTGAGCGTGCCGACCAGGTGAGTGCCGGCCAGGTGAGCGTGCCGACCAGGTGAGTGCCGGCCAGGTGAGTGCCGACCAGGTGAGTGCTATCTACCCTCAAGGGGCGTGCCATGCCAGGAGATGCATCTGCCTTCACCACTCCCTCTCCCCTCTTGCTTCCCCCCTTTTTATTCCCCTGAACACCCTTTCCTCCGTTCTCCCTTGTTGTTTTGCTCCTCCTGTTTTCAACCCCCCCTCCCCCCCTTTCTCCTGCGGGCTGGGCATGTCCTCACGTGTCCTGTGCGATGCTCTCTGCAGGTGGCGGATCTGGACTTCCACGACTACCTCGCCTCGTCCTCGGGCGAGGACGAGGAGGAGGAGGGGGAAGAGGATGAAGAGGAGAAAGAGGAGGAGCAGGACGAGGAGGAAGAGAGAAAGGAGAATGGTGGCAGGAAGGAGGAGGGGAAGAAGAAGGGCGGAGGCACAAGAGAGAAGCTGAGGATGCTGTTGAAGGGGCTGGCGGGGGATGGCGGAGGCAAGGGGAAGAAGGGGAAGGGGAGACCGGGAGAGGCAGAGGGGGAGGAGTCGGATGGGGAGGGGTGGGGGTCATCAGGGGTGGAGGGCGACATGGAGGTCACGTTCAGCACGGGGCTGGCGGCGCTGGGCGACAAGCTGGCGCGGCGCCGCAGCGAGCAGCAGCGCAGTGGCAGCGAGACGGTGTTTGAGGCGTACCAGCGCCAGCGCAAGGAGCGCCGCAAGGAGCGCCGCCGCCTGGCCGAGGCGAGCAAGGCGGCAGGAGGGGGCGCAGGGGGGAGTGCGGAGGAGGAGGCAGGAAGCGACGACGATTTGTACGACAGCAGGCGCGTGCAGCAGGAGGACGACCCGTTCTTTGCCCTGCCCGCAGATGAGGACCCCTTTGCTGATCCCTTCTTTGCCTCCACTCATGCCGGTGCTGCTGCGGGCAACGGAGGGGCTGGAGGGGTGAAGGGAGTGAAAGCAGGGAAGAGTGAGTATGAGAGGAAGGCGGAAGAGCGCGAGAGGAAGAGGGCGGAGCGGGAGCAAGAGAGGGCAGAGGAGGAGAGGCGGCGGGCGGAGCTGGAGCTGCTGCTGATGGAGGGGGGCGAGGGCGGGGCGGTGAAGGGGTTCAACCTCACGGCGCACGCACGCACGGCCAACCAGCAGCGCCGCGTGCAGGGCAGAGGGGCCAGGGGGGCGCATGGCGCAGCGGGGGAGGAGGAGGCTGACGGGGAGGGAGGAAGAGCACGGTCGGTGGGTGGTGGGGGCAAGGTGGGGAGGGGCGGAAGGAAGGGGAGGAGTGTGGAGCAGGCGGGGCAGGAGGCGGGGCGGGGTGTGGACGTGGACGTGAATGACCCACGCTTCGCTGCTCTCTTCACCTCTCCGCACTTCGCCATCGACCCCACCGACCCCCGCTTCCTCAAGTCAGTGCTACATCGCACCCCACTGCTGCCATCCCATCCCATTCCCCCCCATTCCATTCCATCCCTGCCACTCCATCCCATCCTCTGGCCGCCATTGCGTGTCATGGCGCGTGCCCCTCACAGCCTTGGCCCTGCTCCCCCCTCCCCCCAATCACCAGGTCGTCAGCCCCGCAGCGCCTGATAGCGGAGAAGCAGCGCCGCCGCGTGCCAAGTGGCGCAGCGGGCGGGGGAGCAGCGGGTGGTGGCGGGAGTGGCAGCAGTGGCAGGGGTTCCGCCAGCCATGCGCGGGGGGTTCCAGGGGGGCTGGCAGGTGGGCGGGGGGCTGGGGATGGGGAGGAGGGGAAGGGTGCGGGTAGTGGCAGGGCGGAGCTGAGTGTGGTTGTGAAGAGCCTCAAGCGCAAGATGGGGCAGAGCACACACAAGGCAGGGCCGGGAACAGGGAAGGCAGCGCCAGGGACAGGCAAGGCGGAGGGCCTGAAGAGGCAAAAGAAATGACGCGTTCGGGATGAGGAGAGGGTGGTATGAATGATACACTGAGGCCGCGCTGCTGCCGTCATCTTCAAGTTAGACGCCCCTGGAAACATCAAGGTTCCAGAGGTCAAAACCTGGGGGTGCTTACCCCCAGGGTGTATTCAGTTTTCGTTTTATGTACCGTGTCACTCTGGATAGAGGAGCACCTGCGCTTATAAGAGCGCGTTCTTACGGCCCCCTATCAGGCCAACCACTTGTCAGACTCGCCTTTAACACCCACATCTCTGGGTGTGTAATGCAACTAATTATCTGACCTGTGTGTCCGGCTTTGTTAGGCCCCTTGGCCTAAATCCGCTAAAGATTAGCGGGGTCGACTAAGTCGAGGACCAAACGCGGCGGAAGACTTTGGCGAAAAAACTATTGATGAAATAGGCGAAGTTACCGAGTAGTTGAAGAGTTGAATGAGAATTGGTTGATCATGGCAAGTGAAAGCAAGGTTGATATACCATGCAAGATCGAATGTCAGAAAGTACTTCGTGGGACTAGGAATTGAAGGCAAGAAAAGTAGAGTGCCACGTGGCACTAGGAAATCTGTGAAGATAGGATAAGGATTGGGTTGGGAGGGAATGACTGTTCAGGATGAACAGCAAACTACCCTGTAATAGGCTTGCTCTAAGCGTGCATAGTCGCGTGGGTTATGTGGCACGCAGCAACAGTAACCTATACATATGATTAACCGTTCTGCCCTAGAATCGTCGCATGTGAGCTTGACTCGAAACAAAATGTCAGAACAGGAACCGTAGACATAAGTGTCATTCAGACCTGAAATCGTCCGTAACTAACTACCGTACGAATTCCGCGCACTGAATTTTCGCAACCATTCTCGACAAAACAGCAATGTGTCTGCACTGCACATGTCAAGCGTGGGTGCTGCACGTGATTTGCTGATGTGGCACGCCAGACAGAGTTCACGCTCGCAAAAAGAAGTGTTTTCTAATGAGAAGCTCGCGTGGGGCGTTTCCTGTTACCGTATGGCCCCGGATATAAGCGCAGGCCTATTAAAAGCGCATGCGCTTGTATCTGGAGCAATGCGCTTATGGCCGATCCTCAATTATAAGCGCACCCCTTATAAAACCCTGACATATTATAAGAGCATGTGTAATTTTATTTATAATTCTTCATTAAAACGGTAACGAATCTCAGTTTTGCAGCGAGGCCACAACCCATTTTCGCTTACATTGACTTTCGAAGACCTCTCACATCCTGCGCGTCCAGTCAGCACGAGCTGGCACGCCCTCAAAGTGAGGTGTTACACTGTATTTTGCCTCTGGGCGCTCGCGAAGAATCGCCCGCGCGCGATTTTGACATGTGACTTTCTACAATTTCGATTCGATTGAAATCTGAAGGATGAGATGTACAATTTGGTGCATTGAAATATATATTTGTATTTGTTATATTATAAGCGCATGCGCTTATAATTTTTACTCAATTATAAGCGCACCCCCCAAAAAAACACTGTTTTATTATAAGCGCAGGTGCGCTTATATCCGGGGTAATACGGTATGAGGTTAGGCTGATAAGGGCTCGTAGGAACATGTCCTAATACCGCAATCTCCCGGTTAGAAGACCCGCTGGTCTTATCCCAAGTGTGCTAGAAATGGGTTGTGGGGTTATATTTGATGGCATGTAGTGCAAAAGACCATGTGTTGAAATGATATATAGCGGAATGGACTGCACTAGCAGGAATGAGCCATGTGTTGAAATGATATATAGCGGAATGGACTGCACTAGCAGGAATGAGGTGCAAGTAGTAAACCCTAATTGGGTTGTACCCTGTAGAGAGTACCGTAGGATCGGCCGGTAAAATTTGCTGTTATAACTGAAGGATCGAAGTTGATAGGATAAGATTGCTGAGTTGAAGTCCTTGTAGTGACCGTGCTAATAGTAGTTGAAGAGAACAAGATGATTATAAGATAGAAGTACAAGGGTATAAATAGCAAACTAGCTAGGCATGTACTATGAAGGGTACATTCCCTTATTAACTGTATTGCATAGCTATAGTAACCACGACTATTGCTCTTCTCGACAGTTACCATGTTGCATCGCGTAACTACCAAGTGCGTTCATTGGGCGGTCAACAGTCGCGACCTCTGACTTGCTGTGACAGTTGACCTTCGGGTGACTCTCTATCTGCCGCGTGCTCTATATGAGCTACTGCGGTACTGGTACAGTGGCGCTACTTCGTTATGTAGTGGTGCTCTTAGGAGAGAGCCTTCGGGAATGTTATCATAACCTTTCGAATATTCCAACACTCCCCTTCATTTCTGAGGGTGAGCCACGTGGGATTTCTTGGTGATCCCGCAAAGGTCGGCGCAGTGCTGGAACTTCTGACGTGGCAGTTTCTTCGTCAGAAAGTCGGCTGCCATGTCACCAGTTGGGCAGTACGTGAGCTTGACCTTGCCCTTGTCGATCTCGTCCTTGACGAAGAGGTAACGGAGTACGACGTGCTTCGTACGGTTCACGAAGCCGGGCTTGTTCGCGGTATTGATCGCGCTTTGATTGTCGCAGAGTAACGTGAAGTGCCCGTTCATCATTACTTTTGCTTCCTGCAGGAGCTCCATCAGGTACAATCCTTCGCGAACAGCTGTACTGGCGGCGATGAACCCAACTTCGGCCGACAAAAGAGCAATGAGCTATTCCTTCTGAGAGTTCCAAGAGATGATTCCAACCGGTTGGAGTTGAAAAATGAATCCTGTGCAGGAGAGTTTGTTGTCAATGTCTTCTGCATGGTCCGCGTCTATGTAGCCGTGAAGCTACAGAGTAGCAGTTAAGTTGGCTTCGTAGGTGAGTCCGACGTCAGAGGTAGAGATGAAGTATTGGAGGGCTTGGCGTAGGTCCTGTAGATTTGCCCCTTCAGGTCGCTTCAGGTACTGTTTGAGCTGGCTTGCAAAGTAGGAGAGATCTGGCTGGCACGTGACGGCGGCGAACAAGAGACACCCCAGCTACTGCTGATAGAGCCGATGGTTTTCGATGGTGTCAATGGTTTCGGGTTCATGATCAGGAGGAGGAGTCCGGAAGGGGGTGGTGCGGTTGATCGGAGCAATGGCCATTTTTTTCGCGAGTGTTTCCGCGTATTTGGCGGCGGAGAGGTGAATGGAGGTGGCGGACTGGGTAATATTGAGACCCAGGAATTGCGTGACATTATGGTTGATTGTCACCTCGAGCTTCTCCTTGATTTCTTCTTCAAAATGGTCGAGCAGCTCCGTGTCGTTACCAGCGTAGAGGTGGTCTTCCACGTAGGCGACAAGAAGGATGAATTTGCCGCGTGACTCCTTCCAGTACATCCCGAGTTCATGTGGCAGCTGAGTGAATTTGAGCTCCATGAGAACGGTGTGCAGATAATGCTGCTACAGGGGAGGTTCTTGTTTGATCCCATAAAGGGATTTCTGGAGAAGGCAGACGGCACCGTCGCTTTCTTCGAAAGCGTGCGGCTGCTCGACAAAGATGATGGTGTCGACAGGTGTATACAGGAATGCACTGCTGACATAGATCTGTCGGAGCTGACGCTGCTTGACAGCTGCGATGCAGATGAGGATGCGCACCAAGGTGTGTCTTCCGACGGGCGCGAAGGTAAGATCATAGTCCACCATATGAGTTTGTTCGAAGCCGCGCACCACCCATCTTTCCTTGTCATTGTCAATGGAACCATCCGCGAGTGTTTTGATTCGGAAGACCCATTTGTCACAGAGATTTTTTCTCCCCTTTGCTGATGAGCGTGGAACCAGCTTCCATGTTCCTCGGCTCTTCAGCGTCCCAACTTCTGCTGCCATGGCTGCTTTCCATTTCTCGCTGATGGGTCCAGACAGGGCCTAACAAACGGTGGTGGGTTCCTTGGGGGAGGTGTGGCGAACAGCGACTGCGAGTCTAAGGATGCGGAGAACAGTTTCGTTGGTCTTTTCGTAGTGGAGCCGGTCGTAGTCGTGGAAGCTGGTAACTTCGACGACGTCGTCATCGCTGTCATGGCCGGTGCGTATGGTGTCCCGCGAGGAATTTGGAGGTGCTAAATCGGCATCCGGAGATTGGCAGGCATTGCTGTTGTAGTTGTGGACTTCACGAATTGTATCGTCGGGGTCGAATTGATGAATAGGTATGAAGGTCGGAGTTTGTAGTGAGCTTGTAAGGGGGATATTTGGGTATGGGTCGGATGGTGTGTTCTCATTTGCTTCTGCATCCTCTGCCAGGTCTGCCTCATCCTGTGACGTGGCAAAGATTCGGTGCCCCTCGAAAACCCTTCCGAGTGGCTTGTCAGCTTCGCGGTGTTCCTTGAACAGTGGTAGAGTCAGCTTCTCGTAGAAGATGCAGTAACGTGATTTTGTCACTTCGTGTGTCGCGTAGTCCAGCACGATCCACGCTTTGTATTGTTTTTCGATCCCGAGGTGAATGCCCCAGAGAGCCCGATCAGTACTTTCTGGTCCTTGCTGTGTGTGGCCTGTACTGTATCATGCAGCTGAGCAATTGAAGAAGACGCGTGTCTGCTTTTCTGCCTGTCCAAGCCTTGTAGGGAGAGTTGTAATTCTCAAGGCTTCGGGAGGACAGCAAGTTATGCAGCCGAACAACGTGGTTAATAGCAAACGGCCAATATTCGGTTGGGATGGCGGACTGCTTCATCAGGGCCCTCATTCGTGTGGCGAGGCTCCTGTTTGTCCATTCTGCTACTCCTTGCTGTTCGTGAGCGTAGGGCAGGGACACCAGGTGCTCAATCCCCTTCTTGGCGAAGAGTTGCTTGAACTCAGTTGAGAAGAACTCTGCCCCGCCGTATGTTTGGAAGCTCTTTAGCTTCAATCGTGATTGACGATCTACTCGTTTCATCCGAGCAATGAAGCATTTGAAGGCAAGAGAGCGGCAGTCAGTGTTGATGGCCCAGACACGGCGTATTCATGCGTCGATAAAGGTTAGCATGTACATTTCGCTGTCAAGCCCTTCCTGCGTGAGATTCATGAAGTCGTTGTAAACCTTTTCGAGTG